TTCCGTGCAATGTTACGCTCTATATATTTCTATCTCTATCAAAAGCGAAATAATAAATTTCTTCTTCGCATTGGTTCTCGACGTACTTGTTAAGAAACTACGGGTGAAACTACGGGTGATGTTATCCACCCAAAAAAAAATAGGAACAATGGTTACTAATCTAACCGGTAGAGAAGAGGAGATAGCTCCTCTCTCTCCCTTTGGTGTCCCTGTCGACAACCGACGCGATGTTCCTAAAGATCGCATCCCTACGGTTGGCACCGCTTCACATTGTATAATTGTACTGTTGATCAATGAGAAAATATCCGCTCATTCGCTCTATTGTATCATTCAATTCTCTCTCGCTCCAATCAACTTCATCCACTTTCAACGGTACTTTTTTTATTTTTCATTCGTGTTAACCTACTTTCTGAGTCCCGTGGGTGCCCCCCGCACATCACCAGATTAATTTACTTCAGGTTTTTTCGCACGTATATATCCAGTTCATGATCACAATTTGATTTGATCCGTCTTGGTCCATTTTGAATTTTTTTTTTGTCCGTTGGTAGAGATCACGTCCATCGCTAAGGATCGACCACGTCGGTGCCGATCAAATACGATGCTTGCGGCACACAAACTTTCCTTGAGCTGTATGTGCCAAATAAAAGCAGCAAGCAAAGTCTTATGGAAAAAGTACAAATTAGCCCCCTAACTATTTTGGTGACCGAATTACCCCCATAAACTCGAAAATCAGACATTGCTAAACTTTCAATACCGGATAATTACCCCCCTCGACCGAATCTAGAGCGGTTTTATCCTACGTGGCGTACACGTGGCAATCTAGTAAGCATTTTATTTTTTAAAATATAGTGGGACCCACTCGCCATACCTTATCTTCCCCTCTTCTTCTTCCTTTTCCTCTCTCTCGGGTTCAGAGTGTGCACGGCGAGCGGCGGCGCGCGGGGGCGGATGGTCGGTCGGCACGCGGAGGCCAGCGATGGATAGTGGGCGGCGGCGTGCTGGGGCGGACGGGCGGTTGGCGCGCGTGGGCTAGCGGCGGAATGCGGAGAGGGCACGGCGGAATGCGGGGAGGGCACGGCGGGCAACGGGCGGCGCCGAGGAGGCCAGGAGGGTGTTGGAGGCGACGGGCTACGGCGACGAGTCCTCGGCTCAGGCGGGCGCTGCCGAGGTCATCCTTCCTGCCGGAGGCAGCGGAGAGAGAGGTGCAGAGCCTCTTCTCTGGTTCCGATGTGGAGTCGGCGGGATCCACGGCCTCCCCCCGTCTCTCTCTCTCTCTCTCTCGGCTCAAGCAGGCGGCTGGCGATGAATCCTCCTCGGGGAGGGCGCAGCGAGCGGCGCTCGTGGCGCAGAGGGCACGGTGGGTGGCGCCAAGGAGGGCATTGGAGGCGGTGCGCTACAGCGACGAGTAATTCGCTGCCCATCCACGTCGTCCCCATCGACCGTAGTCGCTGTCAACCGGAGCCACACAGCCGCACCACACAGCCCACCGCTGCTCGCCGCCGCTAAAGATGCCACCTGATTCTTCTGCTGCTCCTGGTGTTCCCCGCTTCGCTGCTGCTCCTGTAAAACTACCCCGTCACACCGGCAAGCAGCACACATCTGTACATCCTGTACATGCATGTACACTGTTCGTCGATTCAATTTCTCTCAGAATTCTTCCGTGACATTGCCACGGGTAGATCGCGTCATTGCCGCGAGCAGTGTGCCAGCGTCCACCATGCTGATGCCACCCTCGTCCGGTGGGTGGTGCGTGATGGCGATGCCCGAGCGAGCTAGCCGAGCAGCGTCGCCATGTGCACCGCCGCTCGCTACCCAGCTCCGCCCTCCGCCTCCGCATCTCGCACTGTGGCGGCGGGTCTTCGTTGTGGGAGGAGAGGAGCAGCAGGAGACGCGCGAGACGAGGGCGGCGAGACCGGATGCGGGCCATGCGGCCTCCACTTCCATCGACGTGCCGGAGGGCGGCGGGGCAGCAGGGGGAAGACGAAGCAGATTGAGCGCCACTTCACCGCCTTCCGCTCCTGCCACGACGCCCTCCGCCTCCACCCTCGCCAAGTCGCCGTCGCCCTCTGCCATGGCCAGACCAGGCCGCTGCTTGTCGCCGCCGCCATGGATGAGGCTGCTGCTGTGGCGCATGGGGCAGATGGAAGGGTCGACGAGGATGGACGGCCACGCGTTTCAGGTCTGCAATTTTTCCCCTTCCCTTCTTTGCTTCTCTCGTTGACGTGGTGGAGGCGGCGCACGGTCCGTCGTCCTGGTCGTCGGCATCGTGGCCGTCCAACCACGTCCGCCAGCGAACGCAGAGCAAGCTCGGGTGACCGGCGATGGAGGCGGCGAGTTCGGGAGGTCGGCGGTGGGGGCGGAGGCAGAGCGCGTCGTCCTTGGCTCACCGCAGCCGCATGCTCTCTCCTCTGCTCACCGAGAGAGAGAGATAGAGAAGGAGGAGAGAAAAAAACGCTGATAAGTGGGCCCCACTAGTTTTTTTTATTGGGGCAATTGTGTTTTTACCTTTGCTTTACGTCTCAATTGTGATTTTACCCTTGCTTTTTAGGGTTTTGTGATTTTGCCCCTGCTTTTTTGAAACGAAGCATCCGTCTGCCCCGGTTTGGACGGTAGTTTGGTGGGCCCGGGATTTCCAAATTAAACGAAGAAAGAAAATGCTATTATAATTTGTGAATGACTATTCTACCCTTGCTTCAATGAAACAACCAAATCCCCAAACCTTGCTGTCCCGATCCAATTGAAAACCCTAGCATGCTGGGTTGCAAGCGGCGGCGGCGGCCGCTTACGCGACAAGCGGCGGCGCGCGGCAGGGAGGAGTGGCGGCTCGGGCCAGCACGCGATGGAGTCGGGCGCGGGCAAGCGCGGCGGCTCCGTCAGCACGGCGGCCCCGCGGCCGAGGAGCGGCGGCTCCGTCGGCGCGTCGGCGTTTGCTCGGCTAAAAACTCTGGGTTATTACATGCTTTCCATAAGTTGTGAGAGCAGGCTGCAAAAACAAATAGGGCCAGCTTTGAGGTGATCTGGTGATGTGGTCATTACTTCTTCCACGAAATTGTATGATATTGTTGCTGCTTACTGCTCGATCCGTCGATATAGATTTGAGCTCTTCCAGAGTTCTCCAGCCAGTTTACATCTGAGAAGGATGTGGTCAGATGGACAGATGATTCTATCGTCGGACAAGTCTCACAGTTGGTGTTTAATCTGTTTCTGAATGCGAGCCAGAGGGAGATTCTGCAGGTATTTGGGATTGCTTTGGGTTACAGATTTGTAAGTAAAGTATAGTAGGCAGCTGAAGTTGTTTGTTTCTGTTGAAGCTAGGAGGACAGTTCTTGTATTTTGCTGAATTTGATGCTCCGATAGGGCTGCACCTATTAGCGTTTGAAGTTTGGGGCAATTGTGTTTCTGCCCTTGCTGTCAAAATTTTGTCAAAAATATTGTGTTCTGACATCGTTTATAAACTGTGTTCAAATTATTGCGAAAATTCTATCAAAATTGTCCAAAATATTGTGTTATGTCAACTTTTATAAAATTTGTGAACATTTAGGTCCCGTATGAAATTCGCATAAAATTAACTTGAAACATGTATCCTGTGCAAGCCAAAACATGTCCAGGGGTATATTTGTCCATTCACCACACATTTAACACCGTTACCATTAGTTAACAGAGTAGGGGCAGGCAATTGCTTCGTTTCAAAAAAACAGGGGCAAAATCACAAATCCTAAAAAAACAGGGGTAAAATCACAATTGAGATGTAAAGCAAGGGCAGAAACACAATTGCCCCTTATTTGTTTTTGCTGACTATATCGCTACGTGTGTGCCACGTAGGATGAAAACCGCTTCGAACCGTGTTAGGGTGGTAATTTGTCCGGTATTAAGAGTTTGGGGTGTTAAATGTCAGGTTTTCGAGTTTAGAGGGTAAATCAGTCGACCGTAATAGTTAGGGGGTAATTTGTACTTTTTCCAAGCCTTATTGGAACTTAAACTCCTCTCGTCACCTAGCTTCTTGCTGCTACCAAGCAGCCAAACCCAATCACTGTGAATGCGACGTGCTCTTGACGATCGTTCACGCAAGATTTGAGGTGAGAGAAAGTTTCCATGATTTATCCATATTTTTAGATTGGTTCAACCAAACTACATGATATCAAACCCAACTAGCTCTATATGTCGTCTAAATAGTGTCGAGTCTAAATTTCAGATCTAACATATTAGAGAGGTCCATAATTTAAAAAAAATCAATTGCTCTTATTACAATTTCAGATCAACTAGCGATATTAATTTGACTTTTGATATTCCATGCGTAGTTTGACATAAGTAGCTAAATGTGGTGTAGTTACTAATTTTGAGTCTCTCCGGTTCTCTCACTTGCTTTTATTGTAGTCTTATTCACCTTTCACACTTTCTCTAACTACCTAGGATTTGGTGTACCTTTTCCCATAGCAATGCACGGACACTTTGCTAGTTCAATAAAGAATTGAATAAAAAGGTGAAGGATAGAAGAAAAATGATATATGTATTTAGATTTGGTTAAAAATTCAGATCCAAAGTTCAAGATTTGATTTGAGAGAAAGTGGATTAAATTTGATTAGGGTTGATGTTTGAGCATGAGTGATGATTTTGACACATTTTCTCCTGAAACATATACGACACATTTTCTTTTTGGTGCTATATGACATATTTGTAAGACATGTTTCTGCCACAATGCATGGAAGAACGGCTAACAGCTTCTGCCCACACGTCAACCCACAAGCATCACCATTTCCTCTACAGTTTGTGCAGGTGCACAGAGAAAATTCTACAGAGTTAGCAAGGCAGGATACTATGACAAATGCAGTTTCAGAATTACACCCCTGAAACCATCAAATATTTTCAGAGTTATTCCGCGGTTTTCTTTCCCTGGCTCTGTACAGATGAAGCCAAAGGAGTCATCCGGACTCCTAATTTCATCATGAATACCAATCAAACCACTTTGGTGTGCTGCATTCCACTGATAACTTGAAACAAACTAGCAATAGAAGCGCGCTACGCTGCGCCGCCCGAATCAATTGAAGTCCAATATGTTCGATGAATAATATGCATCTACTATTCACCCATAGCATTGGTTTATGCTTTCGTCTATATCCCATAAACTACCCTTATAAAAAAAATTTGCACATACAAAAATAGTGTATAGGCTAAAGGAGAAAACCGAAAGGTATCGGAAGTTTGAATAAATAGAAAAAAAGGGCAAATTACATGCCAATTTCAATGAGTTTACAGAGGTTTCAATGCTACCCCTTTTTCCTCTGTACGCTAGAATCACATTGGACTATTGGATGCTAAAAACAGAAGACCTAAATGCCTACTGGTGGTCCATATTAAATATATGCAAAGCTAAAATGAACAGATGGAAAATGATGTTTTTTAAGTGCAACATGCAAGTGCACTACTCAACAACAATCCTCCGTTATGTGCAGTTAGTGACATCAGTACACCTGAAAAAAAATATACTACCTCCATCCCAAAATATATCGCAATTTTGAGCTGTGTACCTAAACATACCTTTCAAGATATAGGGCTAGAAGTTTTTACATTTTGGGACAAAGGTAGTAGAAAATTTTAATAGTAATGTTAGTACAGCTAAAACAGTATAGTATCAACCACTTATATAGAGAGATAATATTTTCAGTTTGGCATCACAATTCTAAACACATGAAACCAATTTTTCTACCAAAAGTTCTAGCTTTTTTGGAGTGGAGTAGTACAAAGTGCTGCTACCACGTGGCAAAGTTTATGAGCGAAAGCATGCATAATCAATTAACCAAAGTATGGATGCAATAACATAAGCCTTATAGTTCTACAATGCATATATACTTCTTCAGGTAGGTTCCATTTTTTTCTTCCCTGTTCCTTTTAAGTAGCAGGCAAAATATACAATGTGGAAACAAAGAGCTTGTAAAAGCACAACGGCAGCAGGCTACACTACAGTTTGACGAAACAGATCGACTGCACAACTTTTAGGATTTAAAAGTGTGCTTTCACAAATAATGAAAAAACATGTGTAAAATAGTCTGGTGAACTAAACAGTGAAATAATCTCTCTGAGCACAGACATGTAAAAGCAAACCAACTGAAAGACAAAATATAAAAAAGATTGACTCATGATATTGCTTTACCTTTGCATCGTAACGGTTAGGATATGTCTAGCAAAGCATTCCCATTGAACCAGTTGATGCACCCTTCAAAAGAAATTTACGTCCGTCTCAGATATGAACAGGAAATCAGCTTTCCGTAATGGATCCAATCCATCCATGTCTTTTTCGACCTAATAAAAAAAGAACATAGAGATATGTGATGAAGCATGAATAAATGAAGGTCATTCTCGAGACTGCTAATGTTTTCATGACTCAAAAATGGAACCATACTTCTTTTAAAGAAAATGATTGAGGACATATCCTAACAGTGTGTATAGTCATAATCGACTGATAACATTCTTTTGGTGCCTTTCGTGCAGTGGCGGGCCCAGGATTTTGAACTTGTGTATTCGAAATGGCGAGAGGAAAAAATTTTGTTCATACACCTAAAAACCTAATAATTGGCTTGTATAGTATCACACACTAATAATTATATAATATATAGCGTATATAACATAAAATTGAGCATAAGTTGCACACATTGATAGAATTGATCATCACGTGAAATTGTTTAACATATAGAAATACTAATTGATAAACATATCAAAGTACCAACATATGGAATACAAAAATGATAGAAAATGATAAATTGGGAAGAAATCTTACAATTTAGAGATTAACTTTTCGACGCTTGATATTTTGAAAATAATCGATGATGTCCTTGTCCTGGCTTGCAAAAAGAATTCCCTTTCAATGAATGTAACCAAACAATCATTCAAGCATTTTTGTCCCATCTTGGTTCTCAACTTGTTTTTGATGTAGTTCATTGAAGAAAAGACCCTCTACAAACTAAGCAACCAAGCAAGTATACTAAATCAATCAATTGTAGTTCCCAATCCTAAAATTTGCATTGCAATTATTCAAAATTCGTGCTTTTGATTCACCGTGTGTATGTGGCAGTGTGGTGGCGGCGTGGCCCGTTGGCGTCTTCGCGGCCTCGGTCGTCGGCGGAAGGCGGGAAGGGGAGGAAGGCGGCTCAGCGCCCAGCCACCCACACGGCCATGCCGTCGCCAGCACACCACACGGGCACACAGGCCACAGCCCACAGCACGCCGCGTGGGCGCGCGGCCCGTCGCTGGAGCCGGCGACGCCGAGTCGACGACGTGCCACTACCTGCTTGGCCGACGGCCGCTGCCGGCGCTGCGCCGCAGCTCGCGCCTCCGCCGGTGCGCCCAGCCGGCGGCCGCCCCTTCCATGCTGTGGTGCTGCTCCCGCGCAGCCGCGCTGGCGCGGTCTCCGGCTCGCTGCGACGCCGCCGCCGCACGCCGCGCCCGCCGCCCACGCCACAACACACGCCGCCGGCTGTGGCTGTCTCCAAGCAAAATTAGGGTTAGGGTCTTAGGGAATTGGGGATTTTGGGAGGAGGAGTGGAAAGGGGGAGGGGAGTGTAAAATTTAGGTCCAATACAGCAGAAATGGTAAAACAAGGCCCAAATGAGTAGTTTAACTCTTTTTCTTTATCTTTTTCATACATATATGAACTATAGAGTAAATATACCTATTTTTTATCCAAAATCTTAGGTATACATCTGAATACCCTTGAATTATAGCTGGGCCCGCCCCTGCCTTCGTGTTTTGTAGAGATGGCATGAAAGATACACATCAATGCTAGTCTAAAATTCCATCTCAAGTGAATCTTAGGGATAAATGTGAAACAATAAACCTTGATGAGGTAACTAAAGTAGAAATTAAATATTTGAAATGGGTGTAACTCAATCATCAATGACATAATGGAGCTACTGAAATGGTGAGAATCATTTCCTCCATTAGCTACTTAAAAGAGGCTAACAGAGCATGAATACTCAATTCACATCATATCACACTGGAAGAGGCATTGGCAACACATGGATGAAAAAATTCTTCGTACTCGGCAACACCAACAGAAAAAATCTCTTCATGCAAGCAAGAGAAAGCTTTAAAAACGAATTGGTGAGATCAAATAGTAGAGACACGAAGGCTATCAAAGTACAATGTATATATGGAAGAAATTTCATCAGAGCATATGAGAGCAGTATAATAACGCCGGTTGTTATGTTACCAATGTAACTCAGAAGTTGTACTGGATGGTCTTTACAAAAATTAAGCTCAATTATGTAGTTATGTTGTTATACAACAATTTGTGTATTATTCAGCAGATGAAATGCAAGATGCATGACGACGATATACATAATTAACCTTAATCATAGAATCATTATCATAAGATTAAAGATCAAGCAAAATAGCAATATAGTCTATATGGCTCTGGGGAACTTGAACGGAGCTGGCAATATTTTTCCCTTACATATGCAAGCAGTGTAAGTAACATTTTACACTTGATGGTGTAAATATCCATGTCTAAATAATTTTTTGTATAAAAAGAATTAGTAAGAATAGCTAATCAGGTTGTACTGGTCGAAAAAGAATTAAAACAATAACAGGAGCATCTGTAATATAGAAACCTATAAAGGGTGAAGGAGATGTAACAATGTAAAATACCTTCGATAGCTTTGATAATAATAACTGCATGCAACACCCACTAAAAGTATGATCTAACATTGTTAACGTTATGATAGGATACTTTGCATAGAGATGAAGAGATCAATTAAAGAACACATCTCAACAATATATGGATTTAGAATACTTCAAGGGAATATAAATAACTCTGATGTGGTGACATACATATAGTTCTTATGTAGCTAAAAATAGGAAAGCAACCTAGGTAAGTTAAAAATGCGAGGCGACTGATAGAGAGGATTTTGACATTGAACTCATAAATCCCTTCCCTAAGAAATGTGCCATCACTTGCTATATACTTTTTTGCTTGTCTGATGCACCCTACTGACATTTTTATGATCATATTAGACATAAAAGACTAATGAATTACCTTCAGTCACTTACTGATTGTACTTTGAGATACCGGCCGATCAATGCAGTAAACATTTACCCAATCAAGTTAATTAACATGTAAAGCAAAGCAGAATGGGTATCTACATCCAAGTGGTGTATGTGTATTTGCAGGAAAAGGTATTAATTAGCAAACAGACTTACATATGTGATCCTTTCGTTTATGCTTCCAAAAATAAATGCAGGCCTGCACATAAAAAAAGTTTTGAATCAACGGAATATGGCCTTCTAACAATGAAATCTGTGCTTCGAAAAATAGATGCAGGCCTGCACATAAAAAGGAGTTTTGAATCAACGAAATATGGCCTTCTAACAGTGAAATTTCAGAAGCATAATGCAGGCAAAGCATTTATAACCTCATATCTTCAGACTTATTGACCATGCACCACAGAAAAATCAAGTAGAGGTTTCTGTTAGATAGATCTCCCACCCGTACGGCCCAACGGCACAACGGACCTTGACCGCGCCCTAATCGGGGGCGTCCAGCCCAATGGCTGGTGGGCTGTCACGTCCTGATAAATTCATCCCGAAATAAAAATCATTCCCTAAAAGGAATAATAGAATTAATTAAAATTCAAAAAGAAATTGACAAACACTAAAATACGTGCCAGAAAGATTCGAATGTGGTCCGGAGAATTTTTGTTAAATTCTCCTTGGTCTAAAAGGAGCCCTCAAATTTTACTTGAATTTTCAGAGCACCGAAAATATTTATTAAACAACAACAACAATTAACAAAGTTTATTAAAAAGAAAAAGCTAAAAATAATCCCCCTCCTCCCTTTGGGCCAAGTCTGGCCCAAAGTCTCCCTCTCTCCCCCTCGGCCCGCAGTCCAAGTCCCTCTCCCCTCCCTTTGTTTTTCTCTCTTTCCTCCCGGCAGCCCACTCCCTCCTCCTCCTTCCTCCCGGCCTGCCTCGGCCCAGCAGCCCGGCCCAAGCCAGGTCGAGCCGAGCCAGCCGCGTGCACGCGCGCCGCGCGTGCGCTGACTGCGCGCGCTGACCGCGTGGGGCCCACGCGCCGGTCGTCTTCCTCCTCCCGCACGGCCTCCTCTCTCTCCCGTGAAAACCCTAGTTCGTTCCTCCCTCGAATCCGCGCGATTTAAGCGTTGGATTCCAAAATTAATTGGGGAGAATTAATCCCCTTTCCTTCCTCTCCCTTTTCCCAATAATCTCCCCTTTAATCGTGCACTATTTTGACCGGAACGGCTGCGCCATTCATGGCCGTCTTCCATGGCCGCCGGGCGCCTTTTCCGCCGTCGTTCCCCGCTCCTCCCGTGCTCGGCTCGCTTCCCTCCGCTATAAAACGGAACCCCCTCGCTCCGTTCTCTCGTTTTAGCCCCCTCCCGCGCCCTCCCCGTGGCTGCACCACCTCTCCCCGCCTCCTCCTTCTCTTTCCTCGGTGCCGGCCACCCTCCAGCCGCCCCTACCGCCTTGCCCGAGCGCCGGTCGGCCGTGCCGGCGCCTCCTCCAGCGTCGCAGCCGCCTCCTCTGCGCCGGCCTGCCCTCTGTTGCCCGCGGAGGCCTCCGGAAGTGCATCCCCGCCGGCAACAGTGGCGTTGCCGCCACTGTTCCGTCTTCGGCCGGCTGCTGTTCATCGCCGGTACGCCGACCGACGTCGCCATCTCCTCCGTCGACGTCGCAGCCGCCTCCTCTCCCCCAGTCAGCCCTTCGTTTCGCGGGGAAACCACTGGAGACGCGTCCTCACCGGCAAAACAGTGGCGTTGCCGCCACTGTACCGCCTGTGCCGCCTTGCCGGTGCAGCGGCTGTCGTCATCGCCATCCTCCCTCGACGTCGCCGCGTCGCCCTCCACCCTGGCCTGCCCTCGGTTTCGCCGGAACGCCGTTGCCCGCGTCGGTCTCGCCCTCCGCCTCGCCGGAGTTCCTTCGGCAACCCCTTCCGCTGTGCCCGTGCGCCGGCCGACGTCGCCATCTCCTCCTCCGGCATCGCAGCGTCAAGGTTGCCCTCGGCCTCGCCTCCCCTCCATCCGAACCCCGCCGGTGTTCGTTATCGTCGTCTCTGTTCGTCCTCGTTGACGACTCCTCCGGTCGGTCGTTCGTCCTCGCCGGCTCGTCGTCTCGCTGCGCCGCCACCCTCGTCGTCATCATAGCGGCGTGTTCCGCGCCGTCCTCGTCTCCGTGCAGCTGCTGCCGGCTGCCCTCATCGCCTCCTCGCCGGTTCCTGTCGTTGTCCTCTCGTCGTTCCCGGTCGTCGTGGCATTCGTCCCTCCGTCAAGCCGTTCTCGTCCGTCGTCCGTGTCCGTCAAGTGTGCCGCTGCAGCCCCGTCGTTGTCTTCGTCCTCGCCTCCGCGTCGCCAAGCGTTGCGCCGGCCGCGTCTCGCCTTCGTCCAAGGATCGCCGCCGAAGTCGTCCCCTCGCCTTTCGTCTCCGTCATTCCCGGCCGTCTCCGCCGCGCCCGTTCATCGTTGTCGTTCCCTCGCCTCGTCGCGTGGTGGTAAGGATCTCTCCTTCGCTGCCCCGTCCTCGTCCTTTCGGTATCGCCCGTGCCCGTTGTGCGGTTGTCGACCCCGGTACCCGTGTACCGGTGTCGGTAGTTGTTCGCTTGTGCGTGTGGTGACCGTGTTAGTGTGCCCGCTCGGTAGCCGCGTGGTTTCCACGTGTGCAGCCCGTGTGGTGTCTAGTGGAGTCCGTTTGTCGGCCACTCGCCTCGGTTGACACACGGGATCTGCTTCCGTCGACCCGTGGACTGTCTCTGTGTACTCGGTCTACCGCGGTCCTTTAGGTTGACATGTGGGGTCCGCATGTCAACGGCGCAGCCTTCCTGTCTTTTCCAGGCTAGCGCTTACACATGTTTTATAGTTGCAAAACCTAATTATAATAATCCGCAAATCTCCATGTAACAGCATTAAACTTCGGATGATCATATCTTGGTCATACGAGCTCTGAATCGATCCGTTCAAGTCTCCTAATGTTTGTTATAACCTAAAGAACCCTGTGCTTTCTTTTTATGTATTGTTATTGCTTCTTTATAGGCTTGTAGCTTTGCTTGTGTGCTTCGCGTAGTCTTCGTCGTTCCGGAGGTTCCCGAAGCGTGGTTTGCGGTCGTCGCCGAAGGTTCGGAAGGCCGTTATCTCTGAGCAAGGCAAGTCACATCATCCTTAAGCATATTGAATCCCAGTTTATAAAATTATTTTGATTTAAATTAATGCATTATCGCTTTATTTAAATTCCTGCGTTATCACTGTTTTATTTAGCCATGCCTATTTACCTTTGTTATGACCTTATTATTATTGCTATTGTTATTATTACCTTGTTCACCCTAGGATAAACAAAACCCCAACTAGTGGGTACTCTATTCATGGTTCCACTAGTATGAATTTAGGTAGATGCTTCGCTGATTAATTAGGCAACATTAGGTGGTTTTATAACTTTAGACTTTGGGAATTCTCATATCATTTGGATACTATGGAATGGTTGGCTTATGTTGGAATTGGACACACACCTCCCCCTCTATTCAAAACCCCCAAAATGGTT